GTCCCACTAATTGGGTAGAAATTTGTTTCAAGGGAGCTTCCCTCAACAGAGGAGCACAAAAATCCCAGGGTTTTATGAAATCTAGAATGTCCAAGGAACTCCTCTGATATTTGTTCATGCCGGGTCACCACAAATATGTCCATTGTCCAAACACAAATGTTCCCTTGAAAGCCACGTAAGCACATCATCTGTGCCAGGGTCTAACCTCCCAGCATCTGACATTCGGTCATTCTACAGAGGCGCTCCATTTTTGGGCCCCACTGCGATTCTGACTGCTTACTTAGCTCATCCCCAGATCCTTCCCCCAATCCCTCCTGGTTCTAGAGGCGCTGACCATATGCACTCGTACTCATGCACTCACGCTCCTCACACTCCTTTCTGCCTTCAGGATGCTTACATTTCCTCAACAGGTTCAATTTTCACACACACACACACACACACACAAAAAAAAAAAAAAAAAAAACCTGAAGTTTTTAAGGCTTTTGGCAAATGCCCCAAGGCAAGCAAATAGAAGGTGAGACTACCTTCTTGGACTGGAAGGAGGAAAAAGACACAGAGCAAAGCTTTCATTACACATAGTTTTCATTCTCTTTCATTCTTTCCCAATAGCATAAGATAAAACTCAGTATCTCAATATATTATCCTATGATATTCAAAGCAAAACACCAAAGTCCCCCTTTACTTCCTCCTAATTCCTCTCCCAGAGCCACCATTATCAGATCTTTGATTGTCTTTTTAGTTAACCACCAGTTATCTGGTGATAGGCCTTCAATATTTATCAATTTTAATGATGTAGTAGGCCCTGAAGGGCAACTAGGTTGGGGGCAGGATAGATTTCATCACAGCCTGGGGGGGAGACGGAAAACAGCAGAGAATTCCAACACAGTGGGAAAGTCTCTGGTTAGGGAGATGCAGGCAGGATAGAGCAGCAAGTGCCAGAAGTGTTTCCGGAATTCAGTTATTTTCTCTGGAACATGGGTTGCCAGTGGGGAAAAGGCAGGGGTGGAAAGCAAGCCATGGGGCAAGACTGGGGGGCAGGGCCCAGTCCAGACAGAGCCTTTTAAACTGTGTTTAGGAGTGCAGACTTCATTCCAGGAGCTATTCAGAGCTGTGAGAGCTTTAAGTAGATGGTAACATGCTCAAGTTAGCATTTTAGACTGCGTTGGCTATGTGAGTAGGGTAATGTGAACCTGGTCGGGAGGTTATTTCAGTCCATCAGGATATCAATGATCATGGCATATATTAGAGTAGCCTTAGTGAGAATGGAAGAAAGTGGTCAAATAAGAGGAATATGTAGGAGGTAGAATTGTTAGAATTTAATGATTGGATATTGGTGATTGGAGGTGGGAGCAAGGAAATAGAACAGGCTAGGAGGATAATATCTGGCTTGGATAACAGATGAATGAGTTCTGATCTCTAAGATAGGGAATCCTGGAGAGCAGTTTGGAGGGAGAGAATGACTTGTTCCATTTTGAACAGGCTGAGTTTGAGAATCTCACAAAGATTCTTCAAGTAGAAGGGCCCAGGGGGCAGTTGGATATATGTGTCTAGAATTCGAGAGAATACAGGCTGTGACCTAGTCTTCTGTATGAAGAACCAAGGCTCCGGGATTGACTGGGTCACTCAGAGCACTTTAAAAGTGAGAAGGGCCAGACACAGTGGCCTCTGCCTGTCAGCCCAGTGACTCTGGAGACTGAGTTAGGAGTATCCCACAACTTAGTGAGACCCTGTCACTAAATAAAATATTTTTTAAAAGATCTGGGAATGTGGCTCAGTAGTTAAGTACTCCTGGGTTCAATCCCAGGTACCAAAAAAAAAAAAAAAAAAAAAGTAAACTGATCTTTAGTTTTTTTGGTTTTTTTTTTTTAGCTTATTTTATTCTACTACTACTTTCCATTTCTTCTGATCTTTATCATTTGCTAGCTGTGTGTTCCTGGGCATGCTGCTTAACCTTTAGTGCCTCAGTTTTCTCATCTTTAAAATGAGGATAATAATAGTTTCCATATCATAGTTTTGTCATGAGAATGAAAATAGTTAATACCTAGGGCTGGGGTTGTGGCTCAGTGGTAGAGCACTCACATAGAATGTGCAAGGCCCTGGGTTTGATCCTCAGCACCATATAAAAATAAGTAAATAAAATCAAGGTATTGTGTCCAGCAACAACTTAAAAATAAAATTTTAAAAAAAGAAAGACTTAATACACAGAAATGCTTAGAGCAATCACTGGCCCACAGTAGTTACTCAATAAATAGAAACCACTATATCATCCTCCTTATTTTTATTAGCATGGACAATGATCCTATTCATTTGGAGTTCTATGATTCCAGAGGATGGAGTCAGACAGCTAACTTCTAATCTTGTGTGACCTTGACATCTCTGAGCCTCAAGCTCCTCTTCTTTATATGAGGATGATAACATCTACCTCATAGTTAAATAATGTCTGAAGCCCTGGTGTGAAAGAGACATTTACTAATGGTTAATCTCCCATTCCCTCTTCCATAGTTGTTGGTTTAGAACCAGGCAAATCTGGTGACTCTGACACCAGGTTTCCCACTTCTGTCCTGTTCTGCTTTGTAGATGCTGGTTCCTGGTTAAGGCCTGCGGGGCAGAGTGGTAGGTAAATATTTTCAAATCCTTCTCCAAAATGACTTTCCCCCTCTCCCTATCAGCCCTCTTGTCAGTGAGAGGCTTCTTGTGGTCATCATGAGAATGCTGGATCGTTGGGGGAGGTGGAAGAGCAAGCAAAGCCATGGGCCTGCTGGATCCAGTGGTGATACACCTTAGTATTCCAGCTATTTGGAAGGCTGAGGATCTAAGATAAAAAGGGCTGGGATGTAGCTCAGTGGTAGAGCACCCCTGGATTCAATCCCCAGTACTGCAAAAAAGAAAAAGGCAATGGACTTCTGTTAGAAGTCTATTCCTTCTTCCTTCCTTCCTCCCCTTATAGGGCCAGCAATCGAACCCAGGACCTAGCACATGCTAGGCAAGTGCTCTACCACTGAGCCACATCCCAGCCCTTACATCTTTTGATCTACTGGAGCAGCTGACTTGTGATTCCTTACCACACCAGATGAGATCTCTGCAGTCACCAGGGCAATCCTTCTCAAATGGTTCCTGCCCCGTGACTTATTCTTGCTGGCCTTTGCAGCCTTGTCTCCTGCCTTCTCTTTTGTGACAGACCTATTTTCCTGCAGCCCATCTCAACCTGATGTCTTGGCACAAGTGGCTTCCTCTGCCAAGAACATACCTCTCCATCACCATCCCTTTTTGCTCGTCCATTATGTGAACAGTACCTGTTTAGCCTCCAAGGAAGCTTCAAGTCATCTTTATCCTCCACGTAGGATTATTAGTCCCCTCTTTTTTTATTCTCCCACAGGCCCTTAAACAAACTGTTATGGTAACCTCACAGAATGATGTGTTTCCCTGCTTGTTTCCTGAGCTGCCTTAAGACAACAAGTTTCTCTTATTTGTCATTGACTCCTCAGTGCATTTTACAGTGCCTGGCACTCTGGGATTCTTCAGTGTTGGTAGAATTAAAAAATGAATGAATGTACGAACAGATGAATGGACAGGTAGACAGACTAATTGAGTTTGTTGAGCAAGGAGCTATATCTTCACTCAAGTAATTATAGCCCAAGCCTCATTCCAGCCTTTTTCTGGGGGCAGGGGTGGGTAACCTTTCTCCCTCACTAAACTTCAATCACCACCAGCCTAGTAGTCCTTAAATTCTCAGAATAAGATTGGAATTCCTTCCTATATTGACACACCTGACCTAGAGATTTTTGTTCACAAGGATACAATTCAAAGCAAGGTAGTACTTATTTATTAAGAACCTACTATGTTCAAGGGACTGTAGTTATACAATGAGAGGAAATAGCTGGAAGTGCTTTCAGAAAGTGACTGTGTTTCTAAATCTATCTTCAACATTATTGTCTTCATAAATTCAAAATTCTCTATGGTTTCCCTGGTGGTTCCTTCTGGAAGTCCTTCAGACTTCAGCATGAGTGGAGAGGAAAATGTGGGCAGCTCCCTGGGAGGAATTCCTTTCTTTCCAGGATACACTGAGTTTCCACCATATGGGAATCTCTGGTAGATAGCATTATCCAGAATAAAATAAACCATCCTTTGTTCTCATAGCACTCTGTCATTTTATTCAGGAAAAGTTGTATTCCAGGGAGTTTGAGAATCATCTTGAAAGAGAAGAGTTTTAGTAGGGCAGTCTCATCCCTTTGATGAGGGGATCCTCAAATTTCTGCTAGCTCATGTTGGCCCACTTCTCTTTTAATCATTGTTCAGCATCAACTGGGCTTAGAGGCACGGGGACTTGGACTGGACCTTCAGAGTAGATGGGCCTTGCTGGCTCCTTCTCCACTGCATCTTTTTGGGGACAGGAGGAGCTCCTAGGAATTATGCTAACCAAGTCCCCTCCCAAGATAGTTGCTTCTCCCTACCAACACCTTGCTTGATCCTGTTATGGGCATAGAGAACAGGCAAAGGAGGAGAGTGGGAGAAGCAAAATAGCATCAACTTAGAAGACCCATGCCATGGGAGAGATGAGAATCCACAGGACAACAGCTGCTGGGAGCATCTCAGGGAGGCAGGAGGCACCAGCAACACCTAGTTATTGGAACAGGTAGAAGGATCAGGAATTGAAAAGTTGGGGCCAGAAAAGGAGCTCTCTGCATCTGGCCAGTTTAGAAAAGCAGGAGGGTTGTTGGAGCTGCTTTGCAGCTGCCTCTTCATTTATATTCCTCTAGGAGAGCCTTTCTCCAACCTGTCCTCCCACCTGTATCCTTGGCCCCAGAACCTCTGAAATGACAACTAATGGTTACTAGCATACCACCAAGCTATCCAGTAATAAGGCCCACTCTTTGGTACCACCAAAAGGCCTACTTGGAACCTGCCTAGAATAGTTAGAGGGCTTGGTTCTCTATCCTGCCTCCTAGAGCCTTCCTAACCCAGGTCTTTTTCTCTCTCTCTCTCTCTCTTTCTCTCTGCAGTCCCACCCCCTGTACCTGTGCAATGCCAGTGATGATGACAATTTGGAGCCTGGATTCATCAGTATCGTCAAGCTGGAGAGTCCCCGACGGGCCCCTCGCCCCTGCCTGTCACTGGCCAGCAAGGTAGATTCACATTTGACCCTCCAAATGCCCTGAATGCACCCAGCTCCAGGCTGTGAGAGGCCCCTGAACTGTCTTGTTACCTTGTCACTTAAGAGTGATGTGCTTGATTCCCTCAGGTTTTCCTCACCTGTGACTGGTCAGAGAGAGGTGAAAATCCACGCCTCTGCCTTTTCTCCACCAACCAGCACCATCAGAACTTTTTGACTTGCATGCTAGCTACCCAGCCTCTTCCTCCTCTATCACTTAGGAATTCCTAAGTCCCTTCTCCTGTCCAGATCAGAGCAAAGATGATTTAGATGAAGGGCTCTTCTGTCCTTCAGAAATACTTACTGAGCACTTTTCTAAGAACAGCAAAACAGAAGCCATCGCCCCTACCCTTAAAATGTTTGCCTGTTTTTCCGAAGTTGTGAACTGCTGGCCTGCAAGCTAGCTTTGGCTTGCACAACGGTTGTGCTTAGCCCACACAATGACTTTTCAAAACATAAGTCAATTGCTACATTTAAAGATTGGATATGTTTACATAAAACTCCAGATTTTCAGCTTTTCTGGAAGAAAACTCAGAAGCTCCAACAGCACTTGCCCCACATTCTCACAGGCCACAGTTGGCAGGAGCTAGGGAGGAGCTGCCTCCTCTCTACAGCTGCAGGCTCCCTCTGTTCGCCATGTTCTACTCTATCCTGCTACCTCACTGGCCCTGGAAATATTTGTTCTTGTGATCCCTGCTTTAACTAATAATAATAGTTGCTGTTTTCTATGTGATTACCACTGTACCCAGATTTACATACATCAGATTCTTTGTATGTATCATCTCATTTACTTTTTACAACAATCTGGAAAGGCAGGTATTCCTCTCCATTTGGCATAGGAGGTAAGTGAGAATCAGAAACATTAAGTGACTTGCCAGAGCAACACAACTCAGGAGGGGTGGAGCTGATATTTGAACCCAGCCCTGTCTGGTTCTCAACTTAGGTTTTTAATCTTTCTACTGTGCTGCCTTCCATTCTAGCTGGAAAATTTGAATGTATGCATACAGTATATTTAGATTGTATGTGGCACAGATGGGTGTACTTAAGGGAGAGGATCCTGCCTCCAGAGTTGGTAAGAGAGGAGAGTAATACCCACAATCTTTGTGCTGGTTCCTTGTACTCATGCCCAGATCCCCTGGGGATTTCCTGATCCTCCTGAGATTCAAAGGGAAATAACCTGAGGTTCTTAATTCATCCCACAGAGGGCAGGGATATGGGCAGATTCTGAATATAGCTTTGGGGATGTAGCTCAGTGGTAGAGTGCTTATCTAGCTTGCACAAGGCCCTGGGTTCAGTCCCTGAGGCCCCCACAGGTAATTGATGATATTCTCCTAGTCTGGCCATGCTAATGCAGGAGGGGTTCCAGGGAAGGTAGGAAGCAGGGGCTGGGTCACATATAGAGGAGCTGGAGACTGTGGCATCCCTGCAAAGCTCTAGAGATCTTTAATGAAAGCAGAATTTTGTTAGGCTAAAGCTGCCCTGTTTCTGGGTATTTCATTTTCCCTGTTTGACAATTCATTTATTCATTTGGTAAGCAGCCTGGACTACATGAAGTAGAGTGTGAGTGTGAGTAGACCATGTGTGTTGGGGGAACGGGGAAGAAGTGTTCAGAGAAACTATGATGGGTTTCTTGTTTCTTTCTTCTTCTCTTCCTCCTCCTTCTCTTTCTTCTTCTTCTTTACCTATTATAAAAGACAAATATGTTTATCTGGAAATTTTACAGAAAATTGTAACTAAGTTCTTAGAAATGTCTAAAATTCTGCCACCCAGAGTCCCCACTGTTCTTTTACTGGAGTGCATGCCTTCACAGCACATAGACACTTAGTAAACTCAGGGTGCATCCATGGGGGAGGCTTCTCTTTGCCTCTGGAGGACCGCACTACTGCAGAGAGCTGGGACATGTACACAGATGCTGTGATCAGCGCCCTTTGAAGTGTTGTTTCCTTCACCATAAAATGAGACTTTGATTTCTATCCCCATGATTACAGGGATAAAAATGATGTATGTCAAGTGCCAAATAGTACCTGAGTTAAAACAAACACAAAACCATAAACCGTTAGGGTTTAGAAGGACTACCTGGGCTGCACCTGGGCTGCTACCTCATGACCACAGTCCCTGCTTCCTCCCCTGCACATACTCATTGCCTGGTTTCTCCCTGTCACTCCGTGGGAATTATTCTAGCCCCAGCCCATAGCTTCTGATTGGTCAGTTCCAAGCCTTCCTATAGGTTTCATCCTTTGACCTGACCAAGTAGCTCCTACCTGGGCTCCCGGCTCAACAGAGGTCTGTGAGAGTAGTAATATGAGTCTTTGAACTACTTCCAAGGTTTCAGAAGTCCCTTGGGCTTGATCGAAACATTTGTTTTTGCTTTTGGTTAGAATTCTATCAGTTAAATGTGTTAATACAGATTATCTCATGGGAATATGAATTGCATATAATAAATGTAGTTAGTTTAGCATGTATTTTTTAATATAGCCTTGGGGGGTATAAGAGTAAGTTGACATCTTTGGGAAGTTAAAACTTGAAAACCATTGACCCATATTAGCTCTGTTGTGGTTTTTCCTATTAGTATCATTGACAAATGATACTAATGTTGCCACCATCATTGACAAAGCTGGGATTCGTGAGAGTTTGAAGCCTGGTTCCCCCACTGTTCCTAGTATGACTTGGGCATTTTAGCTCATCTCTCTGAGCTTCTGTTTCCTCATCTATAGAAGTAGAATAATAATAGGACATATGTCATAGTAGTCATGAGGATTTAATGAAACAGTACAAATGGAAGCTCTTAGCCTTATGCACATAGTAACCATTCAATAAATGAGTGCAGTTATCATTCTATCATCATCATAGACATCATTATCCCCCACTTTTTATTTTTTTATTTTTTGGTGTTGGGGATTGAACCCAGGGCCTCACATGCTCCACTATAAGCTACACACCCTCATCACTAATTCCAAGCTTATATAGTTCACAAAGCTGTCCCCTCCACCCCTTCTATTTTTTCTCTCTCTTGCTCTTCTCTGAAACCCTCACCATAATTCTTTGGGACTTTTCCAATCTTGTCACCACCCCTAGCTAGTCACCCAAATTGGTTTCTGTTTCTTTATTTCCACACTCATCCTAGTGATAAGCCAGGCCCTTATCATCTCACGCCTGGACTAGTGCAGATCTGGAGAGAAGCAGGTGGATGCAAGCCCTGCCTCTGTCACCATGGAGACCACTGCTTGGTGGTTAAGGGCAGGCACTCTAGAGGCAGAAGTCCTAGATGGGAGTCCTGCCTCTACTCCTTATCT